GAGACACCCATACGCCCAGCTCCAAGGGCAAACCTGGGGTTTTACTGTATGTATCCTGCTTCCAGGATGAAGGCTGTTGTCCTTGTTTTGTTGTAAATCCCTTTCATGTCTCATGTGACCAGAGCATCTTCTCTCAGCAAGGCCATCTGTCACAGCCTGGGCAGCAGTGGGGGAAGGGAAGGACTTGTAGGCTCCTGTCCACAGTTTTCCAACTAAACTTAGCAAAGAGTCTCTCTCAGGAAATCGAGTCCCTGTAAAAAGCCCAGAAGTGTGGAACCTGGACACACTGCAGCCTTTCATGTAAATGTAGATATAAACTATATTGTTATTACCTGTTCCCAAATATACACACTGTCTGAGGAGGGATCTCAGACAGCATTTCATCCAAATTTCTGAAGAGAGGATTTTTTTTTTCTTTTTGGTCTGAGACCAGGATTCAAACTTGGTACCTGATGTTTTTGCTGAACCACACCTCTAAACCCAACATCGCAACAGAAGAATTCCTTACAGATAAGGAATTTGAGGTCTAGGACCTCACAAGATGGGCTCGAGGCCATCTAACCAGTCAGTGTCAAGAATGGCAATGGAGCCCATATTCCTTCTACCTCCTACATGTGCCAATTTAAGCTCTTGATGAGAGTGTGGAATCATAACTTTCTCTGAGACTTGAATTAATAAAAGTTGTAACCCTCTTCCTTAAAATGCACCAATACACACTCTGCATCAGTTCCAAGGAGGTACACAGGCCCTGTGTTCACAATCCTTGCTTTATAAGAGGAACAAAGTATAGGTCTCCAAGAGGCTGGGATACTGAAGACTCCATGTAAAAGGCTATGTTCCTGGGCCCGTGGAAGAAGTTACATTCTCCTTTTGACTCCAGCAGACACTGAAAACATGGCTTTGTGTCTGCACTGTAAGAAGCCCTGAGTTACCTCACAGGAATGAGGTGAACAACACTAGGTTAGGAATAAAAAAGTCTCCGGAAAAGAAAGTAAGCACCTTCTTGTCTTCCTATACATTTTGAAACACAAATCTCAGGTCACATGTGACATTCTTTCTCAGGAAATTCTTCTGCAATTGCACCTGTGGAGGCAGGTGCCTCTACCAGTCATTCTCATTGCACCAGTATCTCCCCTTCACTGACCACACTCTTGGATTTACATTTTTGTGTATTTTGCTTTGATAAAGTCCTTCTCCTTGACCCCACAGGATCAGGCATGTGACTGTTTTTGTATACTGTTAGATTCCAAACAGTTTCCACATAAAAGAAAGCTATCAGGCCTGGGAGTGTAATTCAAAGTAAGCAAGTTCACTCAGGAGAGGCCAGGACAGCTTGAGGGACAGGGCAATCAAAGCTTCTGTGCTAGTTGAAGAGCTGAGAGAGACAATGGGATTTTCAGGTTGGACCTCTGGCCTTATTGAAAATTTTCTATGTCTGCTTTTCCTTTTCCTTTAAGCCTGTACTTGGATCAAATAACTGGCACTACCATAGTAACCTAAAATCAGAAAGTGACAGTAAGGATGCAAACATACGCCGTGATGATGGAAGAAACACAAGCCTGGGGCCTGATGACACTGCAGAGCCTGATCTAACATCCTCCGGACAGGGCTGGGAAGGTGGCTCAGTGGTAGAGTGCTTGCCTTGCATGCCTGAGGCCCTGGGTTCGATTCCTCAGCACCACACAAGCAAAAAGAAAAAAGCCGGAAGTGGCGCTGTGGCTCAGGTGGTAGAGCACTAGCCTTGAGCTGAAGAGCTGAGGGGCAGTGCCCAGGCCCAGAGTTCAGGCCCCATGACCGGACCCAAAAACAAAAAAAAAAAGATTTTTTTAATGAGTAGAATATATACCATTCTTATACTTTATGATGGAGTATATACCATTTGTTTGTACAAACTTCCCAAGAATCTTCCTCTGTATTCAGTTTCCAACCATACAGCTGAAAAGGAATACCATCTTCACTCTTAAAAAAAAAGTTTTCTGGGCTGGGATGTAGCTCAGTGGCAAAGCGCTTGCCTAGCAAGCGCAACGTCCTGGGTTCGATCCCCAATACCAAAAAAGAAAAGACAAAAAAATACAGTTAAAAAAAAAGTTTTCCTTCCTTCTTTCCTTCCTTCCTTCCTTCCTCCTTCCTTCCTTCCTTCCTTCTTTCTTTCGAGTCGTGGGGCATGAACTTGGTCTGGGCACTATCACCGAGCTTGTCATCTCAAGGCTAGTGCTCTTAACACTTGAGCCACAGCACCATTTCCCATTTTCTGGTGGTTAATCGTAGATAAGAATCTCTGGGAAGGTGGCTCAGTGGTAGAGCACTTGCCTTGCATACCTGAGGCCCTGGGTTCAATTCCTCAGCACCACACAAGCAAAAAGAAAAAAGCCGGAAGTGGTGCTGTGGCTCAAGTGGTAGAGTGCTAGCCTTGAGCTGAAGAGCTGAGGGACAGCGCCTAGGCCCAGAGTTCAGGCCCCACGACTGGACCCAAAATAAATAAATTAATTAAATTAAATAAAATCCTCCAGACTTCTTTTCAAAGAAAAATAAATCTTATTTTAGTGTCATTTTGATTTGTTTCCTATATTATATGGAATCAAACCTAAACTTAATGGCAAATATACACCAGCACAGGGTACTCTAATGTCCATGCCATAAATCTTTTATTATCAGTAAACATCAAAAAACTGTTTTAAATAGGTGATCATCATAATAAAACAATTTAATAAATCACCAAGACTTTATGACAAATCAATGTTTATCATCAACTACTTTACCACAGAAAGGCTACTAGGCTACTCCTATGTATCCATCACTCTGTTGGCTCAAAACTAACACATGATTTCCAGTATTCTGCCCTTACATGATAGTGGTCAGAATCCAGCTCTCTGGAACTTCTAATAAATATAGAGAGAAGACAAAGTCCTCAAGGCTACAAAACATAAAGAAGTTATAACTCAGCTGGGTACCAGTGACTCACCCTTGTAATCTTAGCTACTCAGGAGGCTGCGATCTGAGGATCATAGTTCAAGGCCAGCATGGGGAGGAAAGTCTGTGAGACTCTTATCTCCAGTTAACGACCAGAAAAATGGAAGTGGCACTATGGCTCAGAGGCAGAGCACTAGCCTAGGGTGAAAAAGTTCAGAGACAAGTCCCAAGCCCTGAGCTCAAGCCCCACAACAGACAAAACAAAACAAAACAAAACAAAAAATAATGAAGTTACAACTCCCAAACTAAAAGCAATAAGCAAAGAAGTGACATCACATTTCCAAAAAGATTTCCAAATACGCTCTCCACACACTGCAATGAATTAGGAACGGTAGTGTTATTTAGGTTCATATTGGTACGTATAATTGTCACCCACCCATAGACTATTACCCAGGAGTTACCCAACTCACATGTGAGATTTACAGCTAACATCAGTATCAGTACCAACCATGCCATTCCATGCATCATGAACATTTCTGGCCACGTTTTGCCTGACTCCTTTAAAACGCTGCCTATGTAGAAGTCAATTTTTGCAACAACACACTTCCCTGAGAGATTCCCTGCTAGCACTCTAAGATCCAGAAAGAAAAAAAAGAAGACCCAGAAAGGACAAGAGCATTGTTGCCTGGATGACAGAGTGATATTCAGTTCCCCTGCCCTCTCCTACAAATACCCTAACTTTGGCAGTGCTTTTTAAGTCATGAGAACCTAGATCTGAAAGAGATATCTTATGAAAGAAAACTTTCTATGTCTAGCTTGAAAACTTCACTGAGGAATTTACAAACTTTTACAATTTTATTATCCTAACCTAGCTTTCTAAATGGGCTTGGTTATATAATATAGCTTTGCCCAGTTCTTTCAGCATGGTAAGGACATAAGAAAAAATAAGGAAAATCCATCTTCAATGTCACATTTCTGAACAACACACCTGCTGCTTCTTATCCCATCATCCAGAGTGATCTCTAGGTAGAAAGTATTCTGAAAAGAAGTCACTGAAAGCCTAATTGTTTAATACCTTAAAGAACAGAGCTTTAGAGGAGGGAAGAATTACTACAAAGTAAGGAGATAAAATAATAGTAAGGGAGAAAAAACAGATTTTACCTAAAATACGGATCTAATATTTCTACTCCTTCAGAAACAAAGTTTTCTTTTATTAGGCAGGCAGAGTGTACTTGTAGAAAAAAAACGTAATACTGACTATTCTAAAGTAAATTGGGATTATATATTTATATATACATATATTTATGCCCTCCTCTCTGGGGCGTGATGCTCAAAGTGATCTTAAAACACATCAAGAAATTCTATCATCTCTACAGTCAGTTTAAGCAAGAGAGAATGCAAATTACCCCCAAACGAAGCATATTCCTAGCATACTTATAGAGGTGAAAGACTGAAGTCTCTAGCAACTTACTGCTTAATTATACCTCACACCTACTTTACAATCTAGTTTGTGGATTATGAGTCCTTAATAAACAGTTACTTCTCTGTTCCCTGCTATTAAATTCTAAGAGTTATGAAATTAATTAAAACTAGCCTCGGGCTACAAAGAGGTCTGTAACATAATACCATCAACAATATCATGCTCTCCAGATTGACACCAGCACCTGAACTGGCTCAGTTTAAGCTGAATATGCCTCAGTGTTTGATGGCATCTGCTCCAGCAGGCACCTCGAGTTGAGATGTTGAGGCAGCACTTCAAATAGCTGTTAAAGGTCTGCTTTACCTGCTGTTCCGCAAAGGGCAAACCTCCCTGTGTGATTACATACACATTTCCCTTAAGGGAGAAAATAAACCTGCCTTTTTTTTTTCACAGTGTATCAGAATCACACACTGTCAACTTCGTCTGATGAGTTCAAAATTACTCCCATATGCCTCAGGTACCTCCATCCATCTCTTTCTAACCTCTTTTTCCTAGCATTCCAGCCCTACATCTCCACTCCAAGATGGAACATTTTAAAACAAGTTTCCATTGGGAACCCACTCCTGCTAAAGCTAGGGACTAAGTGGGCAGCCCAGCTCTTTATACTCACTGTTGCTGGACTTAAGGTCTCGGTGGATGATGGGGACAATTGCTTCATCATGAAGGTAGTTCATCCCTCGGGCGATCTGCACAGCCCAGTTCACCAGGATGTCTGGGGGAATCCTTTTCCCAGATAACACTCTATTCAAAGGCCCTCCGCGAGCAAACTCCATGACCAAACAGAAGTTGGGTTCTTTCAGGCACACCCCTCTAAGGGCAATGATGTTGGGATGCTTTAGCATGGCAAAAAGTTTGGCCTCTTGGCGAACATTCTCTATGGTCTGGCTGATGTCCTCATCCGGGTCGTGGCGAGCTGCTTTCACAGCAACCTCGTCGCCTATCCAGAAGGCACGATAGACCTTCCCAAAGCCGCCAATGCCGATGATCTCCTCCAGCGTTAGCTCCGCAAAATCAATCTCTAACACTGAAAAAGAACATAAAAGGAAGCAAATAAAAAAATATACTAAAGTCGGAAGCCAGTGGCTCACGCCTATAATCCTAACTACTAAGGAGGCCGAGATTTGAGGATCATGGTTCAAAGCCAGCCCAGGCAGGAAAGTCCGTGAGACTCCTATCTCCAATAAACCACCAGAAAACCGGAAGTGGCGCTGTAGCTCAAGTGGTAGAGCGCTCAACTTGAGCTAAAGAGCTCAGGGACAGCACCCAGGCCCAGAGTTCAAGCCCCATAACCGACCCCCCCCCGAAAAAAAATACCCTGAGCCAGAAGCCAGTGGTTTAAGTCTATATTTTTAGCTACTCCAGAGGCTGAGATCTGAGGATTGCAGTTTGAAGCCAGCCCAGGCAGGAAAGTCTGTAAGACTCTCATTTCCAATAAAGTATTCAGAAAAAGCCAGAAGTGGCACTATGGCCCAAGTGGTAGAATGCTAGCCTTGAGCACAAAGAGGCTCAGGGACAGTGACCAAGCCCTGACTTCAAACCCCCAGAATGACCCCTCTTCCCCCAAAAAAAGGGCTGGGAAGGTGGCTCAGTGGTAGAGCACTTGCCTTGCATACATGAGGCCTGGGTTCAATTCCTCAGCACCACATAAGCAGAAAAAAAAAAGCCGGAAGTAGCACTGTGGCTCAAG